GAAGCAAGAGCCATGGCTACCCAGCTCCTCCATCTGAGGACACATCTGAGGAGGGGTGCTGCCCAGCTTGGTAAGCCATGGTCCGCCCGCAGGAGAAGGATGGAAGAAGAGGGCTGGCTGGGGATAGGCACAGCGCTGCCCATGAGGGGAATCTGACCAGCCCCAGCCTGGAGGGGGTGAGAGGCTGAGGGAGCCTGAAGGGAGGCTGGAGAGCGCCGGATGGCGGCAGCTGCCCCGGGACGAGCAATAGGTGGGGTGGGCGCTCCTGATGTCTGTGGGGGAAGAAGCGGCAAGGAGGCTCTGCACCCAGCCCAGTCCAGCCCAGCCTTGACATGGCAAACAAGGCAGCAGCCTCATGTGCATCCCTGAGCACGAGCATGCCCCCACCTTGCCAGGCAAGTGGAGCCACAGCATCTGCAGAGAAGAGCACAGGCAGGCAGCGGAAGGCACGAGGAGCCCTGATCCCGGCACAGACCCTCCCCACTCTCCTCCTCTCCCTGTCAGAAGAGCTGTGAGACTCAGGAGCCTCCCCCATGCCCCCCAGCCCCCAGGAAGAAAACCATCGCGAGACATTCTTCTGTTTTAACATTTTTTTCCTTGTCGCTTTTTGGAGTTTTCATCCTGCTTTTGTGAGACGGCAGCATTTGGGAGGGGGTGTAGCTGCCTCCTTCCCCCCAAGCCATCAGCTAAACAAGACTGATGATCCTGCCCACTGCCCCACCTGCCAGAAACCCCCTGGATTTGCCCCAACCCTGTCTGGTCCCCACAGGCATCCCTCCCCAGGAGCAACATTGAGCTGGCCACACCCACCCAGTCTGCCATGACCCCCGTGGCCATGCCCACCCAGCAGGCCACGCCCACCCAGCACCCAACAATATATAAGTGGGTTTTTGGTTGCAGTTTGGGCACTAGTCTTTAAAGGGTTCGCCACCACTGCCTTAGCATATCTGGAAATTTGATTTGATCTGTAATTGGAACATTTAGTTACTAAGCATAGTACTGGGATTAGTAGTACTTTGTAAATAGGGAATATAACATGCAAATTTTATCTTGGTAACAACAGATAAAACTGAGTTATCCAAAACATTGCAATATTTTGACTTTATTAACTGATTTGTAACCCTTTCTAGATACATTATCAATTGGTCTAAATTTAAATCAAGCCTTTGTGATCTAACATTGTCAAAACAAAACTCTTGATAGTTTCAATGGTGCTTGAAGATAATAATGTGCCCTGGGCATCTAATAGTGATATATCTCAGATAATGAAACTGAACTAAAATATATTGCTCTTAGAAACAATAACATATTTGAATAAATACTATAAAATCCAAGTTTTCCTTTGGAAATTTTAAATCCATGATTTATATATTTCTGAAATATATTTTCCTAATATCAGTGTGCTATTTTACTGATGTATTTAGAGAAATCTTCTCCATTAGTTTTCACTTATGAAGCTTCAGTTGTCACAGAAAGCTTTTCAGATTTAAATTTTTACTATAAACTGCATTTTGTCTCTTAGATTAATCAATGGTCATTTTTGCCTTGTTTTCACAAACTATTTTTGAACTGGCATAGTACTTTGTAGTTCTACATTAGGGTTCTCTCCTAGTATATTTCTTTTCCTATTTTTTAAAAATATTGTGTGGATGTTCATCTTTTTTGAATTATATATCAACAGTTTAGAAAATAATAGAGAATAGAAGTGGATATTTCATTTTTATTATCTCAAAGTATCCTATAAAACTGGAAGGATATCCAATTCCCATCAGATAAAAAAGGACAGTTCACTCTTTTATATTTGAGTAAGTACTGTATTACCAGGAATAATTTTTAAAGACATATTTAGAAACCTGAACTATATATTAGTTTTAAAAACTACAAGTTCAATTGGTTTAAATGTTAATAATTTAATAGTACGACATGCCATAAACATGTAAATGTACTGATTACATTTAAAAAAAACAATGCTTGTCTACAAAACAAAAAAAATGAAAATGCTTAGAATTGAAAATGATACTTATGGTAATAGGGTGTGGGGAATAGCACAACAATAGCATTTTAAGCTTATATACTGTACTTCCCCATAATGTTTTACAGCACTCTCTGGATGGTTTACAATGTAAGCCTTACTTGCATATTGCCCACAACAATCTGGTCCATTACCACCAGGACTGAGCTCCAGGCTGTAGGCCAGTGATGGTGAACCTTTTAGAGACCGAGTGCCCAAACCGCAACCCAAAACCCACTTATTTATCGCGAAGTGCCAGGGCTGCATCAGCATTATGGTGCCCTCAGGGGTGTGGGGTGTGTGTGGCCTACTAGATGGGCTGGCTGTAGTGGTCACAGCAGACTGAGTGGATGTGGCTGGGGTGGATGTGGCCATCTTAATGTTGATCGTGGGGAGGACGCCTATGGGGGCTGGGCAGGATTGGGGGAGATCCATGGGGTCTCTGATGGGTGGGGTGGTGGGCGGGACGCTCGTCCTGCGGGGTGAGGCAGGGGGTATGGTGGGGGTGCCATTGCTGCGGGGCAAGGCGAGACAGGAATGGCTGCTGACTGACACCATCAGCCCCCACATGTAGAGGCCAGTGAGCACATGGGGGCATGCTCTACCACCTCTACTCAAGCTTGCTAGCCAGCTGCTTCACCTCCTTTGTGCTGGGTGAGGCAGCCGCTGCGGGCACCAGCGGTGGCCTAATGGACCTGTGCGAGCTGCGGAAGCAGCAGGTGTGCCCACAGAGAGGGCTTGAGTGCCGCCCTTGGCCCGCATGCCATTTGCCATCACTGCTGTAGGCAGAATTTGCCAGCAAAACCGCACTTTAACCACTGTGCCACAAGGGCTTTTGAATCCTTGAATGTTTCTGATGAGAGCCCTAAAAATAGACTAAGCATGAGCAACCTTTTGGTGGCCAAAGACAATACTAATCTCTGTGAAAGACAGGAGTTGCACTGGAAACAACAATAATGCAAAGAAGATGGGAGCATTTTTCTTTTTTTGTGTGGCTTATGCAGGATTTTAGCAGTATCCTTCCTTTGCTGTAAATCTGTGTCAAATCTATGCAGTTGTCAGTTTTATTATGAAATAGGTGCTCCAAATAATGTGAAATCGTAAGTCATTTTTTTGGGAACAAGACCATATAAAACTGCAGTTAGCATACTGTAACAACCATGTAAAAAGGTTCAAGATTTGCATTTGGACCACATATACAGTAGCTATCAAAGGTAGCACATTAAACATGTAAAAAAAAAATCCACCTGACAGCAGAGAAGGGGTCTATTTTTTAAATCAATAACCTGGAAATACTTGCCATTGACAACACTATTCTGTTTGCAATATTTTAGTACATAAAAGAACATCTTCTCCCACTCCATGAGAAAAAAAATTCATGTCATAGATTGGCTGGAGAAGATTAAGATAAACTCTATATCCCGAAATGCTAAGTAGACAAGCAGCTAAACATAATATTAAATCCCAACTAGGCTTCCAAATAAGACATTTACCATTTCTCATATATATGAATCCATTTTCTATTTCTCTGTTTTTATAAAATCAACAAAGCAGAGCAGAATGAAACAAGTAGGAATAATTTAATGTCTAAAGGAAATGCTAAAATTGATTTTTTTTTTTAAATATTCAATTGAGAGGGGACAGATTAATAAGAAAAATAAAGATGATATTTCTGGCCTAAGATCTGCAAGGAATATACACATGCAGAAAAGGTTGACTTTTATTTACTTAAATCTTCTAACTCTGAATTTCTCTAGTAACATGATTTTAAACATTTAAAGCCTGTTTACAGGGAGACTCTGAAAGTAGCTTCAAACCATTATATCCCTAATTGAATTCCCCAGGAGCCTGGTAAACTCAAAGGAATAAAGAAAGAAATCATACCATTTGCTAAATCATCTCTAAGCATTTCTCACTGTGAAGTTCCGTGACCTGTTACAAGCTTGAATTGATGATTGCAACTGAACTGCTGAACCTTTGTTATTTAGATGAAAATCGTATAAAATGCTGCCCAGTTGAAATAAACAAATTAAATCATACCTGCCTTCACTTTTTATCTCTAATTATAAAGAAGGCTTGCACAAACAAGTAAAATGTGTACATGCTGATGAGAAAGGGCTGAAAAAAGGGACAGATATATGTAATTTTCCTATAAGAAGCGGGTTACTCTTCACATGCAAATTGGCATGGAAATGGCTAAATAAATTCAAAAGAAATTAGACTATGGTATACAGAAATGAAAGAAATATGGTTGTGCACAGTCAATTATCTCATGTCTCTAGTTAAAAGAAGATCTGGACTTGCAAAAACATTCTGTAAAACTGCACATTCCCCACCTCCGTGATATCCTTTTGTGTGTATAAACACAACACAAGGGAAATTAATCATAAAATCATATCTTATATCCTCTCATCTACATCATTTTAACTTCTTTCTTTCTTTCTTTTTCTTTCATTCATCATCATCATCATCATAGTAATAAAGTTGGAAGGGACCTTGGAGGTCATCTAGTCCAAACCCCTGCTCAGGCAGGAAACCCTATACCATTTCAGACAAATCGCTGTCCGTCTCTTCATAAAAACTTCCAGTGTTGGAGCATTCACAGCTTCTGGAGGCAGGTTGTTCCACTGGTTAATTGTTCATTCATTCATTCATTCATTCATTCATTCATTCATTCATTCATACATACCACCATGTCCCTCAGAGAGGGTCTCTGGGCAGTGTACAGTGTATAATCAATAAAATTAAGACTAAAAATAAAAAATTAAAGATTATTTTTTTAAAAAATTATAAAAATAACATTATAAATTTTCAAAAGGTGAAAAATTCCAGCAGTTGTTAATATAGGTGGGGGGTCTTCTCATGGGACTAGTCATACCTACAGTTGTGTGGGCCTCTGTGGCCCCCCATGTAGGAATGCACAGCCATGTTCTGATCCTTTTGCGGAAAGCCAAGATATATAAACAACTGTATATTCTCAACAACTTACCGGGTTTATAAGTTATTCCTGGGGGGAAAAGGAATCCCTGCTGGGCTGCTGCAGCCGCTGCCAATGTCCGCTGGTCATGTGGAAAAATTGGGATCATGAGAGGAGGCATGTGACCCTGAACCTGCTAAACAGAAGAAAATATCTGGTCAGAAATTGCGCCAATCGGTCTTAACAAATCTCTCATTATCAACAATAGTTCACAGAGTCGCACTGAACCTTTTTGTCATCAGAATTTCACAAGAGAAATGCCATTAGAACCCATGGGATCCAATGTGGTATATTCACCATCCTTTCACTTCCTTGCTTTTGAAAATATCCATGATTTAAAATTAAAACCACTTGCCTTTCAATTAAAAAAAGTATTATTTGTCATATGTACGTCATTGTAACATATAAACCATTTTATGGATGTAATCACTAGCACAGTATCTGATGATAACAGAGTATTTTCAAAAATGTTCCACTGTTTTAAATTTCATTTGACCTTCATTGACAAAATGAAAAGCAACAATTAAACATTCAAGTAAAAAAACCCTGCAAAAACAGTTTTATTTTGGGTTTGTTAGACCAGACATTTGACAATGAGCTAGCAAAATTAGATGCAATATTCGTTTCCAAAGTTCAGCTTTAGTTTCTGAAATCCTTAATTCATTGTTTATCATAAAAGAACTTGAAGTATTTTTTTAAGTGTGTGTATTTGGGGGGAGAGGAGGGGGAGTAATGGGAAAAGTGGGAAATCCTATTCAGAAATAATATAATGATTTTAATTAAAATTATCAGTAACCTCAACCCAAAAGGATCCTTATGGATTAAAATAGGAAGTATAAAAATTATTTTATAACCAGAAAAAGGTTTATACCTTGCCTTGTTCCAAGTGAATGGCAACAAACTCCATTAAAAAGTCAAAATGAACTTCAAGCATTTTTTTTAATTCCCAAAAATAAAATAACCCTGGTAAAAAATCCATATGCTGACCTATGACACTGTTTAAATACTGTCAGATTTTCTTGTCATATCCATGTTCCTCTCCCACTCTCTGATGAAGACCAGAAAGGCTACTGTGTGTACACTTCTAAGAGAGTTAATTTACCAACAACTCTTCTCTGGGGAAAAGCCCTAAGATGTAGGTTAATAAAGGTCAAGAAAAATATAAACACTTTACAGTATTTTTCAGAATCCATTTCTCAGGAAAATCAACTTATAATAAAAAAAGTCTTTGTGCAATTACTGCCATAGCAATGGGGCATGACAGAAAGTAGCTTTGAGCAGCCATTTCTTTTATTTTAGCTGAGGTAAGCCTGCTTCTCCACTTCAGCAGCACTTGTAATATGGTTAAATTGAAGTTGATCCTCCTGTGTCCAGTACCAACATTCAATAATACTACTAGCTTTATTCATTTATCCTGGGTCTCTGAATAACTAAGAATCAAATATAGTTTCAGTGTTCAGTTGTACTAGGAAAACTATAGCTTTTTGTAAGAATGTGATGCAGCATTTTTTTATAACCACCCTGAGTACTTTCAGCATGGTACTGAATCAATTGGACTAGGCTACTCTTGCAACACAGGATGACCAGATGCACTAATACAATAAAATAAATAAAATAAAATATCCATAGAGTCTTTTCTTGAATAACAGAAAAGAAGCAAAAGAGCCACAAATTTGAGAAGGATGAAAAAGCAGATGCACAAATGCATTGTACATTTCTGAAAGTTAATAAGAAATAAAAGTACGAATCTACTATTCAAATCCATCTTCTCAGAGAGTGTGCCCATATGCTTTCTTGAAAATTAAGATGAGTATTGTTTGGCGTTTAGCTTTGGAGTTACCAACTTACTATTAATAAAATCTGAAAAATAAAGTAGAGGAAGAAGCAGAGCAGAGGTATCGTTGGGCATTATGCTACTTATATCTGCTCTGCCTTCCAAAACTATGATACCATAATCCTTTGGGCAATAGGAATTAGTTCTCCTCTCTTGCCAATGTTGATCTGGTGGTCAATTTTACTGAAAAAAAAAATTACTGTAGGATCTCTGAATGCTTCTCCCACAATAAGAGAGAGGCAAGAAGGAGAAGCACAACAACAACAACAAAGTTAATATTTATTTATTTTATTTATGAGACTTATATACCGCTTTAAGTACAAGCACTCTCTAAGCGGTGTACACCAGTAAGCAATGTATATATATATTTACATTGCCCCCAACAATCTGGGTCCTCATTTTACCTACCTCGGAAGGATGGAAGGCTGAGTCAACCTTGAGCCGGTGAGATTTGAACCGCTGACCTGCTGAACACAGTGAGCTAAAGTGGCCTGCAGTACTGCACTCTAACTGCTGCGCCACCTCGGCTCATAATATGAGACAACTCAAGTAGTATATTGAAAAATGTTATTTTTCAAAACAAAATCTCAGTAAGGGAGCTTACATAAAATGATATATATTTGTATGAAATGAATCAAGGTAAAACAAATACAGTAAATCACATAGATAGGGTAGGTAATAGGGACCAAAAACCCATTGTCCAACCAAAACACTAGAAATGCCAAGTCAAGAATCAAAGGAACCTGCCTAGCTTCAAAACAAACAAACTTGCAGAGATGGAGATCCAAAGCAGGAATATGGCAGTCTTTCTGAACAGACTTCAAGCAAGCTTTGCAGAGATAGAAAAAGTTGATCCAAGAAATCATATCATACATATTCCTAGGACATTTAATTGCTTCCCTGTTCATTGAATGTTTCTGAAAAATGAACGTACCAGCAGATGCCAAAGAGTGTCTTTCCTTCACAAAAGCCATACATTTTTGCACCAACACCTTTTTCTTTTTGTCTCCTCTACTAACTTGATGCTGTTGCCTTTTTACTTTTGCCATCTGCCCTGGAACTTCATTAAAGATACATGAATGGACTAACTGGCCTGATATCTTGTGAGGAACAGGTGCTATTGTTTGTCCCTGAAGACTTGCACTAAAGATCTGACTCTGAATACTTAAGAAAGAGCATCTGCAGCAGTCAGTCAGAGAGCAACTTGGCAAAGACCTTGCAGTGTGCTAATGTACAAACACAGTGACACTCAAGGGGACTCATTTCCTCTTTCATGAAGATTTAACTATTTTTTTTCCTTATAGGATTAGAAATATGTACAGAAAATTTCACAATACTCTTTAAAGCCTGTCAGTGAATTCCAGGAGCAAAACTATGAAAGTCAAATTTATTCTGCGTGAAATATAAATAAAGACAGCTGTTGAAGACTTTCCAGATTTACACTGAAAATACAAATGAAATAATCACAGGTTTTTCATGTTTGACAGTCAAATGCTAGCCTGGTCTTAAGTTCTTAATTTCATTCCTAATTAATAATTTAGTTCTAAAGTCATGGGTTATGATAGATGACTATTCTAATTCTTTCTCTCTCTCCCTATATTCTTACTATCTACCTATCAATCTAATTTAATATAAAACAGTTTTGTACGAAAGAACATTAGGGTCATAATCCTATTGAGAATTTAGGTATGAGCAGCATTTGTGATGTAACACTTTTCAAGCCTCCTAAGAATTAGTAGATTGTCATCTTTATACAGGCTAGAAATATCATTGCTATTAGATTAGAAACAACAGATTAATTGAGCTAGGCAATGCTTTGAAATTGATTAATATGGACAATATTCTTACATATATTAATAACAATAGGTAATCATTTAATATGTATATGGCATATAGTATACTTAGAGACACACACACAAAGAAAAACAGAGAAGCAAAGAGAGAGTATATAAGAACAATAGTATTAATTTTCCCCTTTCTGAACTTTGAATAGAATCTCAATTCAGTGACGAGGAGACTTGAAATAGATTTACTACTGCACTTGTCACACAGCTTTATTTTTTTCTCTTTACTGACTGCCCTACTACAAATTTATTTTGGCCACTACTGTAGTTTGCAATGCATATATCATATCATCATTAGGAACTGGGAAATTTTTCCATTTAACTATTAGCAAATTCAGGCAGTGCTAAAATGCAGGAGGAAAGAGGAAGACAGAAAAATAAAATGTTTCAATTCTTATTAGACCAGACAAACTGTAGCCTGTTTATCATATTTGCCATCAAATAAACAGGAACCCTTTCCATGTTATTGCCTTGTCATGTTAAGAGTGGTTTGCATTGCTGATAGAAGCAGCATGCTGGTATTACAAAGCAGAGAAACAGGATTGGTATAGACAATTTTATCTTCCTCAAAGGCTAGTTGTCCACCTGACAAGACGTGAATGGTGTCCATCCATCCATCCATTTAATTTCATAAATAATTTCATATTCATGGCGTGGTAAGACACTTTGAGATTCAAGTACCTAATAAGTTAGTAACATGTACCTAATCACTTTGGTGTAGTGGTTAAGCCATTAGGCTATAAACTTGGAAACCATGCATTCTAGTCCTGTCTTATGGACAAAGCCAGCCGGGTGACCTTGGCCAGTCATTCTCTCTCAGCTTCAGGAGGGAAGCAATGGCAAGCTACTTCTGGAAATCTTGCCAAGAAAACTGGGACTTGTCCCAGAACTGGATAGGATTGAATGAAAAAAAGTTACAAATATACAGTATATTTTAGAGTTTTGTATGCATATTTTAGACACTCATAGTTTTAGCTTGATGTCTTAATCACTACATCAAAATGCTTCGATTTTACTATGTATATTTTAAATATATCCATATATACACACAGTATACAGTATATAGTAATCTTATTTTATATCCTATATAACATTTTAGGTTCTATATCCTATTATATTCAGTGCGCTCTCTTGTAAAAAGGAAGTTTATTAAGAATTTTTCTGAGTTTATTTTAGTAATATAAATCATTGTGAATACTTTGTTTAGAAACTATGTATTGGCAATATTCAATAAAAGAAATAATTTATTTTCCCTAAATTAATATTTTTTTCTTCTTCTAACCTCGTCATTTGTTTGAAACAAGGCAGTGAATAAGTCATATATACACTGAAAACATTCTATATAAATACAATCAAAACATCCATAATAAATTATGCATATATCAATAATGATTGTTAAAAACATATTTTATAATTGTAGGAAAAGCTATGTGATTATTTAACAATAAATTAGTTCCA